CGACGTAACGAAAAAATCATGACGTCGGGGGTCTGGGTTTGGGAGGGGGGGGCGGCTCTGGGGTGGACAACACCGACTTGGAGTCGGCCAGCGATACTGACGATAACGATAACCGCCATGAAGGTAACAGCGATAACGATAACGACAACAGCGATAAAGATGACGAGAACAACGGCGACGATGACGATATGAGCGGCAACGGCGTCGTGATCGTTATCATTGATAGCGCTATTGTTATCGCCATCGCTGGCATTGCAGATGGATCGACGAGGGGACCCCGATGGCGAATCCGAACGCTGCCGGGCGGGGCGGGGCTCTCTGGGGCCTCTGCCGGCCATGACGGGGCCGTTGGCAGCTGGGGCTCGAAGCATTCCTCCTCCTCCTCCTCCTCCCCCTCCTCCTCCTCCTCCTCCCCCTCCTCCTCCCCCTCCCCCTCCTCCTCCTCCTCCTCCTCCTCCTCCTCCTCCTCCTCCTCCTCCTCCTCCTCCTCCTCCTCCTCCTCCTCCTCCCCTCCTCCTCACTCCTCCTCCTCCTCCTCCTCCTCCTCCTCCTCCTCCTCCTCCCCTCCTCCTCCTCCTCCTCCCCCCCCTCCTCCCCCCTCCTGCTCTGAGCCGGTCTCCACCCCACCGGTGCCCCCATCGGCTCTCGGACCCTGCCCTCGGCTCCCCTCGGCACTCCCGGCGCGCCCGCGGCGGGGCGCGGCTGCCGGGGCGCGCGCCCCGAAGCCGGCCGCCCGCCGAGAAGCGACGACGACGTCCGGAGAAGCTCGGACCTGGACTTCGAGAGAAACCAGAAAGCCGCGCCGACGGCGATGCTGGTTCACGGCGATGTTGGGGATCCGACTTCTGTGACGCCGAGCTCGCGCAGAGAACAAGTGGTAGGAAATCACGGGCCGCACTCTCCTGCATCCTTCCACTGTGCGAGTGCATCGAGCGGCAACCACGCAGGGACGTGCAGGACAAGACGAGCCACACGCGCTGCTGCCACTGGTCCGGCCACGACCGACTCTGCCCCTGCAATTGGCTCTCCTATACATCGCCGTCGGCCAACACACCGCTATAGCGCGCCTGCGCGGCCCCTGCCGCTGCTCCCGGACCCTTTGCCCCCCCGCCATGTTCTCCATGGCGCCGCGGCGCGATGCCCGCGGCGCGCGCGCTCCGGGCGCGGGGGGGGGGGGGCTGTGCCGCGCGGCGGCGCGCGGCGCTGCTTGGGAGGGGGACGAGAGAGAGAGTGCCAGTGCTACGCTGGCGTTGGCAGCCCGTCAGCGCGATGCCATATCACAGCACCACGGCACAGCATCACAGCACGTATCGTTCATCACATCGTCGCGCAGCACAGCACAGCACCGCATAGCATTGCAGATCGGATGAGACATCGCATACCATAACATAGCATAGCAAACCATACCATCACGCAGCACATGAGAAAACATATCACACCATAACACAGCATCACGGCACACATGATAACATACCATGGCAAAGCACAACACGACAGCTCGCGGCAATGGCAACACATAACGCATCATAACACCATAGGCTATGACAGAATTGGCCGCACAGAACATAGCCTTGAGACCCCCGCGCCCCACGCACATCGTTCCACTGAGCGCGCGCACATTCGGGAGCAAACGCCGAAGGTTTCGGTGGGGATCGCTTGAAGCAACATCAGTTCCATCGGCGGGCCCCCCGGGTCTCGACCTCCCCCCCGGGGGGCAACTTCTGGCCCTCGATCCATCTCTGATAGACCTGTGCCCGAAAACGGCCCCCAGTGGCCGACAAGGGAAGAAGCGGCAAGCTTCCCCCCCCTCTCAGAACCCCGTTCGCTTCCTCGCGGTTTTGCTTTCTGTCCCGGAACCGTTGTTGATGGCCCCCTGGGCCGAGAACGACCCTCAGAAGGCTGCAGTCGAAGAAGCACAACGGGCTGAACAAATCAGGTCGGAAATCTGGGTCGATCGTGCTGACAGGAGAGGCAACGTCAGGGGGGTGGGGGACCCCCTCAGGGGGCTCCGCCGATCGGCCCCCGATGCCGAATCCGCACGTTCCTGGGCGGGACGGGCTGTCGGGCCCCGATTGGCGATCCATGGGCCATTGGGGCTCGATGCATGCCCCCTGAGCCGTACCCCTGGGGGCGGAGGATCGCGCTGCATCGCCACTGCCTCGGAGATGCATCGCCGACGTCGGCGACGGACGCATCGGCGACGTCGGCGCGGAGAAGATCGGGCTCCGCATCGAGCCGCATCGCCGATGCATCAGCGATGCGGCGCGATCCTCCGACCCCATCTAGTGGGGGCCCGACCACAGGAAACCTTCCACAAGAAACCCGACCCTGAGACCCCAGGACGCCCATCGATGTTTGGTGTCGGAACGCCACACGCATTCCATTGCCAAACCATCGAAACCCACGAAACCCAGGTGTTATTCGGCGTTTCGACATTGGGCGGAAGGGGGGAGAGTGGGGGTGGTCTGGCCCTGGACCTCTGCTTAGTGCGACTGTTTGGGACCGTGCGTCCTATTAGGGAGGCCCCACCTGCTCGAAACAGGCGCCAAAAAACAGCCAAGATCTACTCCATGGGGGGCGAGGGCCCGCGCCGATCGGCAAAACGATCAAAAAAAAAGGCCCACCGCCCTGGAGGCAGGCAGGGTGTCTCTTGGCATAGGTCTCCACTGTATGATCCTCGCCGTCTGGCTTCCTTGTCACACAAACTACTCGGGTCTCTGACGGCCGCCCGGGACTCCCCCGCGCACCTCCCCGAAAAGCGCTCCCCCGGGCGAGGCGCAGCTGCTCGCAAGAGCACCCCGAAGCTGGAAGGCCGCCGAGAGCCACCAGAAACGCCCGAAGACCCACCGCTCGGGACGCCCCGGGCACGTCCCCGAGAAGCGCTCTCCCAGGCGCGGCGCAGCTGCTCGCAGGAGCATCCCGAGGCTGGAGGGCCGCCGAGAGCCGTCGGGAACGCCCGGACTCGGCGGCGACGAGGAGGGTGAATAGCCCCAGAGGGGCGGGCATTACACGCATTCGCTGGGGAGCCTCGCCGACGACACGACTCGTCGGCGCCCCTGGGCACATGTATTGCCCCACCCCCTGGGCTAATCGCCCCCATCGTCGCCCCCGACGAGCACCCACCTCGCCATCGCTGGGACGTCCATGTCCCGTACATTTCTCGATTTCCTGCGTGCATTTTTCGCCAGATGATTAAGCATGCTCCTCGATGGTCGCCGCCAAGAAAAAATGCACACGTCCGAGCGATGCCAAGCCACAGGCGTTTCCCTTTCCCGCCCCCCCCCCTCCCGCCCCCCCCGACCCTGAGATCCGACGTTGCAAAAAAGTTGCAACATCGCAAAAACCACGCCCGGAGACCCGGACCTCATCTTTCCGCGTCATTTTTCGAGCCCGATCGATCTGTGAGGGTCCCGGGGCCTGAAATCGAGCGAAAACGCCGAGCGATGCCAAGCCACAGGCGTTTCCCTTTCCCGCCCCCCCCTCCCTGCGGGCAGTACTTATATCCATATCCAGAGCGTCGCGGACTTTTTGGGAAGAGGTGCCGCAACGCCGAGGCGCACTGGATATGGATAAAATCAAGCCTCTTGGGGCCAGATTTTTATCCATATCCAGTGCGTCTACGGTTTCTGGGGACGAGAGCCCAAGAATCCAAGAAGCACTGGATGTGGATATAACTATTGCCCCCCCTCCCGCCCCCCCCCCGAAGCCCGTGCCTCCCGGGGGCGCCCAGAGACGGGGGGGGGCCGCGAGAATCTCACGGGCCCGAGGCGCGTGCGCGGCCCCGGGAGAGGCCAGGGGACGCACCGGCAGAGGAGAAGCGGCCACGACCTCTCGGGAGGCACCGTGGCCCCAGTCTCCCTCGGATTTTGGACGACGCAACTGTCAAAAAATGATTGAACAAAAATAGTCCAGAATCGAAGCGAAGTGTCCCCAGACTATGTTTTTGTCTATTCTGAAGGATCCCCCCTGTAGAGGGACAGGCCCGACCCAACCCCAGTCATACTGCCCGCCCTCCCCCAATCACCGCCCCCCTCGTGGCCACCCCCGGCCCTCGCTGGCGTTTCGGCGGCGAGCGAGGGGGGATGTGAGGAGGAAACGGCCCTCTCAAAGGCGGGGTGGGCTTCGCAGAAGCCCTCGCGCCGTCTGAGAAGTTCGCTGTGTCTTCGGCGAAGCGCAGAGCATTTCTCAGAAGGCCGGGGAACTTTCGAGCCTTCTGAGAAGGCCTTCTCCTTCTCACTTCCCACCCCCAGGCTCGCCGCCAAACCCTAGACCCTTGACGGCGCGCGCAGGGGGGCAGGGAGAGGGGGGAAAGCTTATCAGAAGGAGGCTGCTTCTTAGAAGGCGCCGGCCCTACATCTACAGACACGGCACGCGCCTTCTGAGAAGCAGGGTGCTTCTAAGAAGCCTTCCCCCCTCTCCCTCCCCCTCCCCCCCTGCGCGTGTCTGACGCCCACTCTGGGCCGCCCCCGGCCCTTCCTGGCGTTGCCCCTGACGACCAGGGCTGGACCTAAACCTTGCCCTTCGTCTTGTGTTCGTTTTGTGGCTCGGTTTGCTCGAATTGCCTGAACCTCCCTGCCAAAACGAAAAACAAAACACAGCCGAAGTCCACCAAAACTGAAGGGCCCTGGGACACACACATACATACACACGAAGAAAGAGATTCCCCATATCTCCCCAGATCTTCTGGGTTTCCGTCTTCCCCCCCACCTCCGATAGTCTCCAATATTTTTTGGGGAATCGACGATGAATTGTGTCTGCGTGTTCTTTCCCTCCTGAAAATAAGGGGAAAAAAACATACCTCGCTTTTGCCCACCCTCGCTTCAAGAGATACCAAGCGATGCCAAACTACGGCCTGTACTGGTCAGGCCGCTTGACCAGGAGGCGCGTGGTATGACTTGGTTTTGCCTGGAAGCGAAAGCGGGGTAGGTAGTTCACGCTCTGAGAGAGAGACACCGTTCAGGTCCAGCCCTGCCGACGACGATCCGCTGGGGGCGCCCCTTTCTCCCCGCGCCGCCGCCGCGCCCAGGGCGCCCCCCCGCCCGGAGGTCGCGCCGGCGGGCGCGCCGCAGGTCGCCGCCGCGGCGTCGGCCTCGCGGGCGTTTTTGTTTTGGTTTTGTTTTCTTTGTTTTTCTGGGCTTCAGCATCTGGCCGCGCTGGCCGCAGGTTGGCGGCGCGCACGAGGGGCGCATACGTACACGGGGAGGGGGGGAGGCTTCTTAGAAGGAGGCTGCTTCTGAGATTAGGTCGGGCCCGTCCCCCGACAGGCGGACTGTGGAGGAGCGGTTACAAGTAGCCAACAGATAGTCCAAAATTGATCCAGAATGATAAAGATAGCGTCCCCAGACGATGCTTCGACAATGGCTCGAAGCGTCCCCCTGTGGAGGGGCAGGCCCGACGTCATTCTGAGAAGCCTTCCCCCCTCAAGGCCGTTTTTTTACAAAGTCCGTTTTGCCGTTTTTTTGCCGGTTCAGTCGCCGTTTTTGTTGCCGTTTCCGGTTGCCGTTTTTTTTCGCCGCTTCCATGTTCAAGGGACATGTCTTTGGAAACGGTGAAAAAACGGCCCTGCCGTTTCCGAAGCCCTCCCCCCCTGCCCCCCTCTGCCGGCGAGGCGGGTGGGCGAGGAGGGTGGGCGAGGGCGCGAGGGCCTGGGCCTGGGCCGGTGCTCCGCCGATCTGCTCTTGCCGGTCGCGCCGGCAAGCTGGGGCCAGGCCGGCCTTCTTGGACGAACGAGAAGATGCAAGAAGCACTCTGATCCTGGAAGAGCACGACCCAGACATAATCGCGTCGTAAAAAACATCAGGTCGGGAGGTTTTTTGCTATTTTCGGCTTCGGGGGGCCCTCGCCGGGCCTCGGGGCTGTCAAAAAACAACTCAGGACGAAAAGCTGGCCCCGGGGAAAGGGTCGGGACTTCCGGGGACGCCGCCCTGACAAAAAACAGGACGTCGCATGTCTGTGGAGGATTGAAGTCGGATTCCTACGGGCGCATTCTGGAAGCAAACAAGTTGGAAGTAGGCAAGGCACGCTCAGCAGTGGTCCAACGAGAATGGAACAGTCGCCCCCAGGCTAGTGCTTGACTACTCTTGGACGTTCCTGCTGTAGAGGGACATGCCCGACTCAGAACTGGAGCCAAGATCTGGCCCATGGTCGGGCGTTGGCAGAACTGGGTTTAGTGGGACCTGTACCGGGGGCGCCCCCCCGTCCCATTTCCACGAACCGGAACTGCCGTCACCCGAAAAAACACAAACTATGGCAAACCTAGTTTAGTGATTCTGGCCAATTCCCCATCTCTTGGGCCCTGCCACTGACCAGGTCCCCTTGCCTGGGGTCCTGGCCATGCCCGACACGGGGGGTGGGGGGGAGGGGCCAGGGGCCCACGCCGACCGGCGCCACAACGCAGGCAACGCGGCGACGTCCGCGGTCTCTACTGCTTCTTGCCTGCTTCGCGCCTGCTGTCTGGATTTGGACACCCGAAATGGGTACCGAAAGAATGGGTACAATGCCCAACAACAAATGTTGTCCCAAACCAACAGCGGCCGCTGTTGGGCAGGCGGCCTTCTGTCTCAAATGAACACAGGCCGCGGCGGCGTGGACAGCGAAATCCTGTTCAAAATGAACAGGAACTGCTGTTGGGCATTGTACCCATTCTTTCCGTGCCCGTGTCGGGCGTCCAGACCGGAGGCTGGCCCGTCTCGAGCAGCCTCGAGCCGGAGGCCGTCGCCTCGCTTGCGGCGCCTCGGGGCCCTCCCCGGGCCCCCGAGCCGTCGAAAGGCCGGCTCGGGAGGACGGAAGACCAGTCCCGGGGGGGGATCGGCGGCGCGCGAGAGGGGGGGAGCGAGAAGAAGGCGAGAAGGCCTCCTCCGACGGCGGCGGGGCTTTTCATCGGAAAACCCTCGCGCCGAGCGAGAAGTTGTCCCGTGCCTTCGGGGAAGAGTCGGCGACTCCGAAGGGTGTGGTTTGCAAAGGGTGTGGTTTGCGAAGGGCACCCTGGGGAGCACCCTGGGGGGCGGGCGGGGACCTCGATAGTGTTCTCCGCTGCGCTCCGAGGCGGCCCGACGAGGACAGTGTTGTGCCCCCAATGCCCCAACGGCGCCGATCGCAAACCACACCCCGGCGTAACCACACCCCTTGTAGTCGCCGAAAGAGGCCTGGCAAACCTCCCGGGAGTCCGGGAGCCTCCCGGGCCTTCGGAGGAGTCCCGCCCCTGCTTCTCGCGGACCCCCCCCCTCGCGCTCGCCGCCGAGGGGGGGGAAGTGGTCGAGAGAGATGTCGGGGGCGCGCGCGCGTCTCGACGCAAACGACATGCAACGCCGGCTGTCGGGGTGCGGCTGCGCCTTCGACCATGCGGACCCCTTGAGGTCCTCTTTGGCCTCGGGTGGTCTTCGGCGCGGTCTTCGGCGCGGCAGCCAGGCGGTCACGGCTCTCCTCGAGGGGCCCACGATCGGACCCCCCAGTCTCGGGACTCCTCGGAGCACTTTCGGGGGTCGGGGGCACCGGGAGGCAGGGGGTGGGAGGAGCAGGAGACCAGGGGGGGAAGGTCCGAGGGGGGGGGGGAGACGAGAGAGGCCGAGGGCGAGGAGGGGGCGAGGAGAGCAGGGAGGGGGAGGGGCAAAGGGAGGCGCCCGCGTGCTTTCAAGAGCGTCCCGGGGTGCTCGGCAGGCTTGGGGCAGCTCGGGGGCGTCATCGGGAGGCGCTGGGGCCGACGTGTCTCCAACTCTCAGCCTCAGGTAGCTCAAGATGGGCCCGAAAAGGAATCACTCCTGTCCAAGAGGGCTCAAGAGGGCCTCCAACACGCCTGCGAGGCCCCGAGATCGCGCTGATGTGGCTCGAAGTGGCCACGAGCCTCTCAAGGACGCCCTCAAGAGACCCAAATTTTTCCAAAACGGCTCCACGTCGGCCCCAGGAACGCCCGCGAGCTCACCGAGAGACGACGTGTCGGTCTCCGACGCGGGGGAGGGGTGGGGGGAAGGGCCCATCCCGTTACTCGATCGATGGCATCCAGGATGTCTGCTTCGGCCCCGAGAAGTCACAAGATAGCCCCGAAAGCCTCCAAGATGGCTCCGAGAGGTCCCAAATACGCTGCCAAGAGAGGCTCCGATATCGAGTTCTGCGAGAATGCATATATCGTTGACTCAGGCTGATCCCGAGATTCGGTTTGACGGCTGCACACCCTGTTTGTTCCACTGATTGCTCTTGCACTTCCCTGATCAGGGCAACTCGCGTGGGTATCGTTTCTGGATGGGCTTGCGGCGATACCGCGCAAAGCGTCAAAGAGGTCTCGTAGTGCTCCTGGACGGTTTTAGCTCTGAAGACAGCCTCGTCAGCCCCCGACATCGCCAAAAGGAGGAGCAAAACGATGTACTGTGTGATATCGCACCCGAGAGGCTCGCGAGACGGGGCACCGATACCGCCACTCCCGGGACCTCTCCGGGGGTGCGCTCCGACCAAAACTTCGAGGCGAACCCCGCCATGGCGGCGGGCGCAGGTTGAGCAGGGACCGACCGTCCCGGCATTCCTATGATCATACCACGAAATGTTCTTAGATCCCAAAAATGTTCTAAGAACAAAAGCCATGTTCGTAGAACATAAACCCGATGTGGTAAAACAAGGCAATCCTAGCCAGAAATGTTCTACGAACATTTCCTGGGAACCGCAAAAAGTTCTTAGAACATTCTGTGGCGGGGCTATAGGCGAGCCGGGACGCTTCGCCACTGCTTGAGCAGGGCAGCGGTGTCGGCAGCTCGGAGCACGGCGAGCGGAGACGACGGCAGCTCAGACTCGACCCGTCGGACCCCTCCCCTGAGGCCCGGCCGCACCAAAGAGTGCCCGAGCTGCGCCCGGACGCGGCGGCGAGCGCCCCCCCTTCCGAAGGATGTGCCGCTGTCTCCATTTGAACAGGGACCGAGCGTCCCGGCAGTCCTATAGTCCTGCCACGAAGTGTTCCTAGAACCCAAACATGTTCCAAGAGCAAAACAATGTTCTTGGAATATAAGCCCGATGTGAGAAACGACAAGACAAACTCTGAAAAATTGTTCTACGAACATTTCCTTGAAATCACAAACGGTTCTTAGAACACTGTTTGGTGGGGCTATAAGGTGAGCCAGGACGCTTCGCCATTGCTTGAACCATGGCCCCTGGCCCTCCTCCTCCTCCTCCTCCTCCTCCTCCTCCTCCTCCTCCTCCTCCTCCTCCTCCCCCCTCCCCCCCCCCCTCCCCCCTTACCCTCCCCCCTCCCCCTCCCCCCCCCCCCCCCCCTCCCCCTCCTCCTCCTCCTCCTCCTCCTCCTCCTCCTCCTCCCTCCTCTTCCTCCTCTCTCCTCCTCCTCCTCCTCCTCCTCCTCCTCCTCCTCCTCCTCCTCCTCCTCCTCCTCCTCCTCCTCCTCTCAAGCCGCTACGGCTCAGGCGCATTTTGCACCACCTGAGCTGCCCCAGTACCTTCCCGTGGTGCTTGAAGAATTTCCCCGCAGCAAGACCAGTTTCTCGCTTTTGGGGTCAACCAGAGCTGGGGCTCATGACATTTCCCGCCCATTGCTCAAACAGGCTTTGGAGCAGATGCAAGGCTTGCCACGCATGCGAGTACAACGATCGGCTCGACCCAGATCAGCCGCAATGTCCCCGCTGCAGTCGGCCAATACGGGTGCATCGTACTGGCCGCTCGAGATCGCCTTCGGTGGTGCGCATCAACGAGCAAGCTGAGGTCATCGCCATCGAAGGGACTACCACCACTCAGCGCGGGGGCCGAGGCTCATCGCGCGGCCGTGGAGACCGTGGCAACAACGGCAGCCACAGTGGCGACCACCTGTCCGTGCATCTACGACAGGCTCTCGCCGCTGCCGAAGACCCGCAGTTGAAGGGCGTGTTGCAGGCGCAGCTCGCGCGACTAGCTGTCACTGCCGACAGCGCAGCACACCCCCGTGGGTTCGAAGTTGAGAGCATGCGCCAAGCAGATGGAGCATGGCGCGCAGCGGTCAACCGCCACACGCAGGTAGTCAACAATGTGATCAAGCTCCGTGCCAGCCTTGCCGCGGCAGAGGCCAAGGAGGCCGAAGCCGCCATGCAGGTGGCCAAGACGGAGTCGGCGAAGAAGAAGGCG